TGCAGTGTGTGTGTGTGTGTGTGTGTGTGTGTGTGTGTGTGTGTGTGTGTTGCAGTGTGTTGGAGTGTTGGGGGGTTAGGTATCAAACTGGGAGGAAACTGGTTTCCTGTGAAGAAGCTCTCAGATTCATATTGTCTGTGATCTGCCTGATTATGCAGAGAAACATTCGAGTGTCGGAGCAAGAGCAGATTGATGTTCGCACACAGTGAGATGCACGCGCGCACACACACACACACACACACACCCAGAGAGAGCGGCAGTGTTTATGAAGTCAAAAGAAAGCCGTATTATTACAAGTGTTTCGTTGTTTCGCTGCCAGATGACGAGATTCTCACAGAGGGTTAGGGATGACATCACTGAGGAGGAAACCAATTATTACACACACACATGCACACACACACACTCTCTCTGATGCTTCAGGTTCAGCAGCAGAATATAAACTCTAATCAACTCAACAGGGGAAATAATAACAAGAAGATAAAAGTCTAAATTAATCCATCAATAATCTGAGAAAATGAAGCGCGTCTCCTTCCCCTGCTGCACCGGTTCTGACCCAAAAATGGCTGACACTTGGTCCAGAACCAGCAGATTCAATGGCATCAGCAGAAAAGGCCAGTTTCCAGTTCTGATCCAATCAGATTCCTAAAGAATCAGGAACATTTTATGAAAAGAGAAAGCAGAGGAAGCTGGTTTATGGAACATTTCCAGTATTCCTAGTACAGAAACTGGTTTAGTTGTTCTCCATCCAGATGTTTTGATCTTCTATTAATCGGATTAGTTATTGAATTGATGATGTCATTATTTATCAGTTCCTCGGATGTTCTCTGTCTGAATGAGTCTGTGACCTGCAGTTGAGGTCAGACAAGCTAACAGCCGGTTAGCTGCATATTTACTGCATGGAGATCAGCAGAAACACACACATGTTGGTTTTTATAGAAATCTGATAAGATGGTGGCTGATAATCGTGTGTGTGCCAATCTCTTTTCTTGCCACATGGCTGCACTTCCTGATTACCTGATTTCACTGTTTCAACCGTCTTGTTTACCAATGGGCTTAACGCACGCACGTGCACATGCGGTGCTGGTCTGGACGGTAACAGCCAGCGATTTTTTTGATGGCTCTGTTTCATTTACAGGATCCTCCACACAGCGCCTCCTTTCCATTAGAGCAGGAACTGCAGCTAAAGGGCCCAAAGCTAAGGGTACTAACGGCTGACCATGACCTGCTGTTCAGGGTTAATGAACATGTGAGCGCGGCGTGGCACTGATGTTAGCTCAGTAATGACAACTACGTCTTCAATAAGCTGGAAGCAGAACCAGTCTGAAGAACCTGAACCGGACCGGAACCACCGAGTTATACCAGCGATCCAGTTTGAGCTCCTTAGCAGGAAACATCCTCAGAATGCGTGTGTGTGTGTGTGTGTGTGTGTGTGTGTGTGTGTGAGACGTTAAACAGCAGAGTCAGTAGATGATTATCAGCCTGAGCAGCCGACCAGAACGCTCACTGATGGAGACACAGAACCACTAATCGCTTCCTCTGCCAGAGGTTCTGAAGGTTCTTCAGATTCTGGGTGGTTCTGTGCGGTACCCTGCGGTTCTGTACCTTGGGCAGCCTCTCAGGGTCTCCGGGGTGACGGGGGATGACCTTCTGTAACCTCTGGAAGCCGTAGTCGATGGTTGGCTCATTGAGCGCTGAGGGAGAGGAAGAGGAGGAAGGTCACTAAGGTTCTGCATATACTGGTGTCAGTAGTGGTCTAGTTGAAGTTCAGAACTGGGACACCTGTGATAACTGACACTGTGTGTCTGTTCTGGTGTGGGTTGATTCTGCAGTCTTACTGACCTCTGACCCAACATCCCTGTTTACATTCTCTCTCAGGCTGGAGGTATCAGAACCTCTGCAGTCAGTGAGGAACCAGAGGTTCTGATGGTTCTGTTCAAGTCACAATGAATCATAGTCATCTGTACAGGGGAATTTTTCTGCCATATTTCGAAAGCACAGATTTTCTGTCTCAAAAGCAGGACTTCATGTCTTTCTTCTCAAAACTTGTAATGCTTGAACTCCAAACTTCTGTTCTCTTTCAAATATTCACTCTGCTTTCTCAAACCTTTTTCCTCATGCTCAAAACTTGTGACTCCGTTCGCGCTTGGAAAAGAAAAGTACCGTCCCCTGGCAACCTCTCAGCCAATAGAATGGAAGTGTTAGACTGGGTGTGTTTGTTTCCTTCTAGTGGGTGAACCTGTGTGGCTACCAAGTGCAAGAAGTCCTGCTAACCCAAACCCTTTCAGACTGAAAACGTGTGCTCTCAAATTATAGCAGAAAAACCACCAATAGGTCAAAATTCTAGAGGAACTTTGTTATCATCTCTGAGACTCAATCTTGATTTTTATTTCCTGTCAGTGAACATTACAGCTAAAGCTGGTTGGAGGCGATAAATCAGAGCATCAGTGAATGCAGCAGAGCTGGAAGTGTGTGTGTGTGTGTGTGTGTGTGTGTGTGTAGGTGTGTGTGCGCATGTGTGTGCGTGTGAGAATCATAATCCCGTCTTGGTTCAGCTGCATTTAACAAGCTTTAGACTGACTGTCCTATACATCATCACAGCCTGTTACTGAGTGTGTGTTTAGTGTGTCTGCGTGTGTCATTGTGTGTGTGTTCAGTCCTTGAAGGCCCACAGGGCGGAACCAGCAGCAGTTCAGAGTGTGTTGTCTCTCCTGATGTGTGTGTTATCGGTGACCTTGTTGATGTTGTTCACTTTGTTATCGGCTGTTTCTCTTCAACCTGCTGCTTCCCGCTCAGCTGCTCTGAGGAGCCATTATTAAGGGATGTCTGTTTCTCTCAGGTCTGACTTGGTGGAAATGGACCGCCCTGCATTGGACTCTGCATGTGTTCGTAGTTTATTGGTTTCTGGCAGGCCTAACTGTATTGTAAGGGTTTGCTGGGAACGTCTGGCAGTTAACTCCCACCATCAGGAGAGCGTCGAACATGTTCCAGAGGAGGTGGGAACATGGAGTCCAAGTGGGCCATGCTCCATCATTGGTGCTGTGGCCGGTCAGTGCCTGTCGCGACAGAAACACTTGAACCTGCTGGTGGATATCGGTGGTGAGGGTGTTCTAACAACAGAGGATCACACTCCTCAGCCTTTGTGGTAAGGTCTATTCAGGGGTTCTGGAGAGGAGAGTCCACTGGATAGCTGGACCTCGCATTCAGGAAGAGCAGTGTGGTTCTAGAACACTAGGCCAGCTATAGACCCTCAGGAGTGTCCTTGAGGATTCTGAAAGTTTGCCCAACCACTCTACATGTGCTTTGTGGTCTTGGAAAAGGCATTGGACCGTGTCCCTGTGGGGGGTACTCTGATGGTCTGAGGTACCAAGCCCTTCCCTGTGTGACCGGCGCCAGAGTCTGGTCTGCATTGCTGGCAGAAAGTCAGGCTCATTGAACTCTGCCAAGGCTGCCCTTTGTCAGTCACTGTTCATAACATTTCTAGGCACAGCCAACGTGTTGAGGGGACCCGTTTGCAGATAATCGGGTTCTATTGGCTTCAGTAGGCCATGAGCTACAGCTTTTACTGCAGCGGTTTGCATCCGACTGTGAAGTAGCAGGAATGAAGATCAGTGTTTCGAAACCCAAGGGTCTCAAGCCAGAAAAGGGTGGTGGAGAAGTGGAGGAGTTGAAGCATCTTGGAATCTAGTTTGTAACTAATGAAGACATGGAGCAAGAAATGGATCAGCGGGTTGGCATAGCGTCTGCAGTGAAGTGGGCGCCGTATCGGTCTGTCATTGTGAAGAGAAAATTGAGTCAAAAGGCAAACTCTCGATTAACCGTTCAATCAACATTTCTACCCACATCTATGGTCATGAGACTGGAATGAGTTTCCTCTGCAGGGTGTCTGGGCTCTCCCTTAGAGATACAGGCTCAGTCATTCAGGAGGAACTGAGGTTAGAGCCGCTGCTTCTCCACATGGAGAGGAGCCACTTCAGGATGTTCTGAGATATTCAGGTCCCTCCGGAAGACCCATCACTGGAGGGACGATGTTCCTCTGCTAGGAACGCCTTAGGATTTCCCTGGAGAAGCTGGATCAGAAGGCTGGGGAGAGGGAAGACTGGGTCTTCCTATTTGGGCTGCTATTCCGGCAACCCAACCCTGGACAAGCGGAAGAAAATGGATGGATGGTCTCTGAAACAATTTTTGGAAAAATGATCTTGAAAACCATTCTTTGGATGGAAATTTGGCCAAAACATCTAAAGTCCTGTCAAATCATCTCGGCTGCTGGATTCTTAAGAAGCAGCAGAGCAGTCATTCTTCGCTCGATGGTCCCACTTGTTGGTCAGAGCCAAGCCTCAAATTCATGTTTCTGTTTTATTTTTGTTTTTTGTTTTTTTTACTTTTATGACTCATTAAGCTAATTTTGTTATGCCATCTCTTAGATCCAGATGAGCTGCTTTGAATCAACACTGGAACCCTTCCTTTCAAGATCACATCCACAACTGCTCCTCGCCCAACCAGGCTCCGGACAGGGGCGCTGCCAGAAATCTTGGGCCCCCTGACAAAAATTTGTTTGGGCCCCCCTGACCAGCTGCTGTTACAATTTTTTGAGTCTATTTGACCCATAAAAAGCGTCACAATTTTAAAGGCCTGCATCTGTCTTGCTTTCTGTGGTTCAATACTGATAATTAGCACAATATTTACTGCTCATGAATTTAACATCCAACAGTCCACATCCAATATGCAAGTAGGTTGCTGAAATTTTTTCTATTAGATACTGAAATGTCTCCCCATGAGCAACAGTCAAAAGCAACGTGCAAAGTATACATAAAGTAATCCAGACTTCTCAAAAATGCTATGTAGTTGCATTTTATTCAGGCTGCAGTACATAACTTTAATAAAAATATGTTTTCTCCATATTTGTTAAAGCTGTCATGATGTAGCAGTTTGTCATGAGACAGATAATCTGTGAAAACAATCAATCTCCTCCATCTCCTTCCTGAATTACTGGTTAAAGTAAT